TAGCTACATTGAAGGAATTCCATTACCACTTTTTGATGGCTACACTGAAGGAATTCCCTTACCACTTTTTGATTGACAGCTACACTGAAGGAATTCCCTTATCACTGAAGCCACTCAGGAGTGCCCTAGTCTCAAATTTTTGGAAGAAGTATTTTGAAAGGACAAACAAAAACTAACGTGTGCCAAAGCATGCATCTTATTCAATCTCACATTGTCAAGTTTATCAACCAAAAACATCAATGGAAAGAAAAAAAAAACCAAACACCGAGAAGGGAAAGACTGGATTTACACATGCAGACCCACATCTGCACCCACAATCACACGCTAGCATGTCACCACTGTTTACAAGCAAGGGAAGCTGAGAGTTAAGTGAGAGGGGTAATCAAACGCCAGCGTATGTTGTTTGTGCGCTGTTTATGTGACCAGTCATTATTAAAGTTTATCATATTTTAATTATACCAGTTTATGATCGTTAAATACACACACACTCACACACACACACACACACGCACGCACGCACGCACACACGCACACAGCGATAGAACAAACGTGCTTCAACACCGAGGTCCCATCCAGAACAATACTGAAAGCATTTCTCCAGTGCAGGAGAAAGTGTTCATAACCTCACAATGGCGCTGAACTCTGCAGTTCCTTCTCTGATGCTGTATGGCTTGGATGCTATGCAAACGAGAAAGAAAGAAAGAAGAAGGAAGAGAAAAAAGAGTGTGTGTATAGAATTCTGTCGAGAAAAGTGAGGCACACTAGAGGAGCTATTGAAAGTTTGACATCTGTTTATCTGTTTATAGTGATGGCAAGATCACTCATATTAATTCTTGTTTAAAATGCCATATGAAGGGAAGACATTTGTGCAAACAAGAGTCATATTTGAATTGTAGATCATGTCTTCACCATCTGTGAGAGCTGATGGTGTTGCAAAATTAATGTGTTAATGAAATCACAATAATTTCTCCAAAGTAATGGGCTCTGAAGCCGAGAATGACTATTTTTTGAACTTTGGTGTCTAGTGATTTCCAATTGGGAAAGGCTCTGAGTCTTTAATTAGCTCCGCAGCCCAGCTCTGAAATAAATTTGGTGATCTCTTTCTTTTGCCAGGAGTAGATCTGAAGGGGGCGGGGTGGAAGCCATAACAACTTTTGGAAAATGTTCTCTGGTGTTTGAAAAGTTGTTAAATAAGACCGCCTGCCAAGAAATGTCACCAAAAATTCTGACTGCTGAGAAAGAGTGGGCAAACAGCTCAAAAAATAATTCTAGCTTGCTGCAACATCACAGGTTGGGAGAACTAAACCTCACACAGACTTCATGCCTAAGTCCAAGTTGCTCCTTGGAAGGCAGACATAAGGGTGTTCAGCACTTTAACGCTGTTGGTTAGAACAGCACACCCTTTCCAACCATGTTACTGGATACAGTCAATAGCACAGAGTGATTTTACATAAATTAGGGGGATTGTAAGAGGTTATGTTGCTTGCATGACCATTGAACTGTCTGGAGATTCCTTTCTTCCAGCATTATTTAGATGTGTGTTTCTGGTGAGCCTGTTAGGTAAGTGGAACTCTGAAGGCAAGTATATTAAGTAAGTGTACTGGGCAGGTGCACTCTGTCTTGTCCGAGCCATCTTCAAGTCATTTTTACACTGTTAGTATCTTTTTTTAAGAAAAAAAAGGATTACTATTTTGAAGATCCTATTTGTAAAGTAAATTCATCATTTTGCAAACATTTCAGAAATTTACCCTTTAAAAGGAACCCTTTCAACTATCTGACAAGTTATGATAAAATTTGAAAGAGCCTTTATATGAAACATGAACGCCATCTGCCCAAGAAAGCTTATCTTACCTGTTGTGGTTTTTATTGCTGTGTTGTAGGTGTGTGACTGGTGTAAACACATAAGGCATACAAAAGAATACCTGGATTTTGGGGACGGGGAAAGAAGGCTTCAGTTCTGCAGTGCAAAATGTCTCAATCAATACAAAATGGACATTTTCTACAAAGAGACACAGGCCAATCTTCCAGCTGGGCTGTGCAGCACATTACACCCTCACATGGAAAGTAAAGCCGAAGGCACCGGGGTGCAGCTGCTCACTCCAGACTCTTGGAATATCCCGCTAACAGATGCTCGGAGGAAGGCTCCCTCCCCGGTGGCTGCAGCTGGCCAAAGCCAGGGCCCTGGCCCATCCTCGTCCACCACCGTCTCTCCATCTGACACTGCCAACTGCTCTGTCACTAAAATCCCCACGCCAGTGCCCAAGTCCCTCCCCATCAGCGAGACTCCAAGCATCCCTCCTGTCTCGGTCCAGCCACCTGCCAACATTGGACCTCCGCTGGGCGTCCCGCCTCGCAGCCCTCCCATGGTGATGACCAACCGCGGCCCGGTGCCGCTGCCCATCTTCATGGAGCAGCAGATCATACAGCAGATCCGCCCGCCCTTCATCCGCGGGCCCCCTCACCATGCCTCCAACCCCAACAGCCCCCTGTCCAACCCTATGCTCCCGGGCATTGGGCCTCCGCCGGGTGGCCCCAGGAACCTGGGCCCCACTTCCAGCCCCATGCACCGGCCCATGCTATCACCCCACATCCACCCCCCAAGCACCCCTACCATGCCTGGGAACCCCCCGGGACTGCTGCCCCCGCCGCCCCCCGGCGCGCCCTTGCCCAGCCTTCCTTTCCCTCCGGTAAGCATGATGCCAAACGGCCCGATGCCGGTGCCCCAGATGATGAACTTCGGGCTGCCGTCGCTTGCCCCGCTGGTGCCGCCCCCCACGCTGCTCGTGCCGTACCCAGTGATCGTGCCCCTGCCGGTGCCCATCCCTATCCCTATCCCCATTCCCCACGTCAACGATTCCAAGCCCCCCAACGGATTCTCCAGCAACGGGGAGAGCTTCGTTCCGAGCGCCCCGGGCGACTCGGCGGCGGCGGGAGGCAAGTCGGGCGGACGCTCCCTGTCTCCGCGGGACTCCAAGCAGGGCTCGTCCAAGTCGGCCGACTCGCCGCCGGGAAGCTCCGGCCAGGCTCTGAGCCTGGCGCCCGCGGAGCGCGGCCGTGGGGAGGTGGTGGACCTGACTCGGCGCGCCGGCAGCCCCGTGGGCGCGGGAGGCCAGCCGGGCTTCGCGGGCGTGCTGCACGGCCCGCAGGACGGCGTCATCGACCTGACAGTGGGCCACCGCGCCCGGCTGCACAACGTGATCCACCGCGCGCTGCACGCGCACGTCAAGGCGGAGCGAGAGCCGGGCGCCGCGGAGCGCAGGACCTGCGGCGGCTGCAGGGACGGCCACTGCAGCCCGCCCGCCGCCGGCGACCCGGGCCCGGGCGCCCCCGCGGGTCCCGAGGCTGCCGCCGCCTGCAACGTCATCGTGAACGGCACCCGTGGCGCCCCGGCCGAGGCCAAGGGCGCAGAGCCCCCTCCCGAGCAGCCACCGCCCCCCGCGCCACCCAAAAAGCTGCTGTCGCCCGAGGAGCCCGCGGTGAACGAGCTGGAGTCTGTCAAGGAGAACAACTGCTCTTCCAGCTGCCACCTGGACGGGGAGGCGACCAAAAAGCTGATGGGGGAGGAGGCCCTGGCGGGGGGCGACAAGTCGGACCCGAACCTCAATAACCCAGCGGACGAGGACCACGCCTATGCTCTGCGGATGCTGCCCAAGACCGGCTGCGTGATCCAGCCTGTGCCAAAACCCACGGAGAAGGCTGCCATGGCGCCGTGCGTCATCTCCTCGCCCATGCTCAGCGCAGGCCCTGAGGACCTGGAGCCGCCGCTGAAAAGGAGGTGCCTCCGAATTAGAAACCAGAATAAGTAAAAGGTTTGTATGTCCACCTGGGCGCTCCTCCAAGAGCCAATGCCCCTTGCCTTGCTTCTTAGAAGGCGGAAGTGAGATGTAGCCATCACGACCCTGTCCCTTACGTGCACTTTGTGTGGCCAGGTACCATCAACTTGATCCCACACCTATGACACCTGGCAGTGTTTAGTACATCATTACTAAGTGCCACGATCAATCAAGCCCTTCAGCCTAAGTTGAAAACACACTCTTTTGTTACACGTTTGTTTTCTTCTTATTATTGGGTTTATACCTAATTTACCCCACTGGAAACGGGGAGGAGGAGATGTGGAAGGGAAGATTACTTCAGGTATCTTAGTGTTCAGTTATGAGGTTGCAGGGCAATATTGAAATGTCCGGGGAACCCCTCAGGTGGACAAACATCTGGAGCTGGTGGCCTGCTTGGCCAACTCTTACCCTAGCTTGTCAAGATGGCAATAGGAGCCCATCTGTGGGCTAAAATTAAAAACTAACCTTCCTCCCAACCTGCCATGTCCCCCTTTAGGATTCAGTGGCTGAGCTAGTGATTCACTTCTACATACAGTCCTTGATGGGGTAGGAGGGCCCATCTCTGGCCATGTATGATTTCTGAATCCTAAGCCACTGAGGGTGAGATGGTGGGGACCACATGTGAGCCACTGTGGTGACTCCTCCTGCCAATCCTAGTGAAGTAGGTGTTTCCATTGCTGTGAAGAGACGCCATGATCACAGCAACTCTTGCAAAGGAAAAACATTTCACTGGAGTGGCTTACATTTCCAGAGGTTTAGTCTGTTACTATCATGGTGTGACGTGGTGTGCAGGCAGACATGGTGCTGGAGAAGTAGCCATATCCTACATCTTGACTTGCAGGCAACAGGAAGTGAGCTGAGGGTCACACTGAGTGAAGCTTGAGCAGCAAAGGAGAACTCAAAGCCCGCCCCCACAGTGACGCACTTCCTCCAACAAGGCCACACCTACTCCAACAAAGCTACTTCCTCATAGTGCCACGCCCTTTGGGGGCCATTTTCTTTCAAACCACAACAGTAGACATTAGAAGCATACTGCCAGAAGGAAGCTGTGGTTTAGAGATTTTTGCTCGGTCAGAGCTGGTCAGTGGGAGCCCCGTTGTTGATTTCAGGCCTGTCCACCCAAACTCAGAATGTGAGCCTTCTCATCTACCCAAGCAGACAACAAGCCAAATCTTCAGTTGTTTATTAACCATTTATAGAAAGGAAAAGAGAAATGGGCATTCCTCCAGCACTTAACTGCTCCCCCTTGGGGCTGGGGACACACAGAAGATTGTTCCACTGAGCTGCCTCAAGGCAGGTACTGTCCTGTTGTGAGGGATGTAACCCAGGCAGGAAGGGGTCCTGGAGTAGGGGAGGCAAGAAGAGTATTCTCCACACTGGCGTGCACAGGCTCTTCTGAGTGTTTTTCCACTGGTATTTCTTTGTAGCTAGATCCATAAAACAATTCTCTTCATTCTCTTGGTGGAGAAACAGAGATACATAGAACAATTATATTCATTATCCTGGTGGAGAAACAGATACACAGAACAATTATCTTCATTCTCCTAGTGGAGAAACAGATACATAGAACAATTATCTTCATTCTCCTAGTGGAGAAACAGGATTGGGGAACTTGACCAAGACTACCTAACCTGTGAGCAGAGTTGTGATTCAAATCCAAGCTGTGAACTCCAAAGCTAAATTTCCTTTAAGTCACAGTGAGAGAATCAGCTAACGAGTTCTTCCATCACTGTATTTACAAAAATTCCCTTATTACCTGGGAGCAGAGTTCATGAAACATGACAAGCCTCTACTTACCAGCTTCCCCAGTTTTTCATCCTTGCTTTTCCAGCCACAGACACAATTCTAGGCCACCAACCTGCTGCTTCATGGTGGGGGACCTCACTTCCAGCCAGAGGCTTGAGTGGAAGCCCTGAACCAGAGCAGAAGGCATGTTGCCTAGCGTGAGCATCTTCTCTTGGCCACCATGGTCTGAGGGCTCCTTTTCTACGGGTGGCTTTGCCAGTGGGGGCAGAACACCAGAAGTGACGTCACCATTCCTTCCCAATTAGCGCTACAATTCCTGCAGGCTGAAGACAGGTGGCCTTTCTCATAGGAACCTCAACTGAAAAGGCCCCAGATAATTTAACCTGCTTGACATTGCTTCCAGTGAAGGGTTGATGTGACAGAAAGAGCCAAACAAACAAAGAAAGCACCTCTAGAAAGCACTGGGAGACGTCATTTACACACATTCAAGGTGTTAAGGGAAGGATGTGGGGGGTGAAAGAGGTCACTGCCATTACTGTGGTGAGAAGTGACCAGGACAGGAGGACAGTCATATAAGCTAGCTAAAGACCAACAGATCGTTAAAAGCACAGCTGTATGAATGACTGGGTGATCTACGTTTCTGAATGAGTAATCAGGTGAGGGTCTTGTTTGTAGACCAGCATCACTACTAAAAAATGTTAACTTAGCCTTAGCCAATTCTAGAAGACGGTGTGACCAAATTGCCTCTTAACACTTGCGACAGGAGAATCCTTTTTAGGATGGGTCCCCCAAGAAGTTACAGCTCTTTTTGAAAGTCAGAAATAGGTTCCATGGGCTGCAGAGAGGAGGCAAAGGAAAAGATTTAAGGAGGGGACCATGTCTCCAGGGAGTCAGCATCCCTCCCATTGGTCACTCTTTGGTCCCACGGGACCTCGCAGCCCAGCTTCCGTCTGCTATAATTCACCCACACCCAGCCTTTCTGATTTCCTAGACACAGGAGCTGCTGGTTTTGCTCTACACCTCCAAGAACTCAGTTTGTTCACGTGGTTGGGGAAATTGGAAATACATCTATTAGCTAAGGACAGAGTAGCTTTTGTGCCATAATAATGAACACACTTTGGAAACAAGTTAAAGCTAAATGAATAAATGAATAAATGAATAAATGAATAAATGAATAAATGAATAAATAAATAAATAAATAAATAAATAAATAAATAAATAAATAAATAAATAAAGGGCTGGGGAGATGCCTCAGTGGGTGAAGTGCTTGTCACCCAAGCACAAGGGTCCCCAGCACCATGTAAAAAGTGAAGCGCCATGATACTAACCTGTAATGCCGCAGTGGGAGACAGAGACGGGAGGATCCCAGGGTCTTGCTGGACACCCGCTGTAGCTAAATCAGTCCTCTCAAGGTTAAGCAAATGGCACCATCTCAAAAAATAAAATCGGACATGAATGAGGACTATTTCAACCTCTGGTACCCGTATCTCACACACACACACACACACACACACACACACACACACACACACACACACACTATGACAAGACAGGCTTTGAGGCGCGTGTGAGGCTGCCCCACATACTTTTTGTGATGCATCCCAGGATGGCTCCTAGAGGGGCTGTACCTGCACAGTGCTCTTCATTCTTTTCACCAGGTCCACCTTTCTCCTACCAGACCGCGATTTTAAAGAGCATGTTCTGAAACCAGCAAGCCGGCTACATTTGCCTTCAAAGAACGCTACACATTTGTTAGATTTTTTGCAAATTGCAGCCTCCCTCTCCCATCTTGAAATTATTCTGTTCCTGCTTTCCTGACTCCATTCATTCTTGTCTGTTCAGATGGCTACAAATGATCTCAACAGGCAGATGTTTCTCCCAGATGCAGAACTGATTAAGTTTAGCTGAAGATTTTTAAAAGGTTGTAAACTCCCTTTTATCTCTACTGTTTATAGATCTGGATACCAGTCCTGCAGCTTCGGTAGCTAGGGGAAAAAAAATCCTCCAAATAATAAGGAAAACAATGTATAAACACTGTTCAAACTATTGTATCCACAAAGAATTCCATTTATAAATGGAATAGTCCCTTCTTTGTTTTTGTCTGGAAGCTTGGTGGATAGCTGTTTGTACTCTTACGTTTTCCAAATTCCTACAGTTTATACTTGTTTATGGTACATCGGGGAGTTCAGAGTAACCATGTGTAAATTTTTGAAGATATTCTAAGAAAATATCCCCATTCCTCCATTTTCCAAGGAAATAACATATTTTTAAACAAAATAATCAATGGAAAAAATGAAGACCAGGAATAACCCTTTCACTCCCATTCTTTATGTTCTCCTGGAGCAGAAGAACCATCGTAGTTTTGTGCCGTAATAATGAACACACTTTGGAAACAAGTTAAAGCTAAATAAATAAATAAATAAATAAATAAAGGGCTGGGGCGATGCCCCACCCCCATGGCTCTCTAGTCTCTTACACGTTTCTAGAAATACTCCTCCCTGCTCGGTGGTGGAGGCTCCACTTTGCATCTGGAGAAAGCTTGAGGAGAGTCATGTGATCTGGGCTTCTCGGAGCTTAGTCTGATCATTGTGCTAGGGCCCCCAAATCACTGTTTCAAAGCACAGGGGAAGCCAAAGGGTGGGAAGTGCTGGTTGCAGGTTTTGTTTCTCATACTGAGAAATCCAAAAGAACAGGAATCCAAGAGGACAGAGTCTCTGGGAGGAAGTGAGAAAGAAAGTCAAAATAAGGGGTGCCCACGTTTAAAGAAAAGAACAACAGCGCAAGGAGAGGAAATGGGGCATCTTCAGTATTTCATGACTAGACGTATTCCCTGGGTGACAGTCCTTGAGTTCAAGGTTATCCTCTCTCCAAATGAGTGCTTGGCTGCGTGGTTCTAGATGGAAGTGCTGTAGGATGTCTTTCAGTATGCCGTGAGTGTGTGTTGCTCTGATTGGTTGATAAATAAAGCTGCATTGGCCTATGGCAAGGGAGCTTAGAGGCAAGTGGGAAATATACGGAGAGAAGAAAGAGAGGAGTGAGAGACGCCAGCCACCGCAAAAGGAGAAAGAAGCAAGATGCCAGCAGACTGGTAACGCCACGGCCATGTGGCAAAACATAGATTAATAGAAATGGGTTAATTTAGGATGAAAGAGCTAGCTAGTAAGAAGCCTGAGCCATAGGCCATATAATTTGCAATTAATACTAAGCCTCTAAATGATTATTTTTATAAGGGGCTGCAGGACCACAAGGCCAGGTGGGACCTGAAAAAAACTGTAAAGCTACATGGAAGTTTGACAGAGAGCCGCCAGGTTGATTCGTATGCACCTAGAACTAGTGAGCAATTAGGAGAGCTGGCTTCAGCCTTTGGAAATCACAGTGGCAAGATGAGGCACAAAAATACTTTATTCAATGAACTCCGGCCGCCTGCACCCTCAGTACCAGGGTTTTGAAGAGGAAGGATCGACACTGTGTAGTGAGGCGCTGCTGGAATATGGGGATAACATGTATGAGCAGGCACCTAGTGCTTTGGGCTGCAGCCTGTCACTGGAGCAGTGCTAGACTGAATCCAGCAAGAGAAACAGCTGATGCATAGCCTTGCAAGAAGGACCCACTCCCTCCATCCTTTAAGTGCCCACTCCCGAGATCTTCTAGCCCAAGTGGCAGAGGATTATCTTGCCTTGTTAGTAAACAATATCTGGAACTAGAGGTTTTCTTGTCGCTCCAAGAAAGCTGAGTTAATTATCCAGTTAAAAACGAGAATTCGTTTTTGGCAATTTTTGCCATGGACCTAACGTCACAAAGCCAACACCCTCCTCTCTCCAGACTCCCCTCTCTGGAGATCCTGCCAGGGATGGGAAGGCTGTTCACTTTCCTGCACCATGTCCTGGATGGCATTCTCTGCCTCCTCCAGTTCCCACATTAGTGCATTTCACCCCCGGGTGGATGCTAAGGAGGTGCGTTTGTGTGTGTGTAAATTATTTTAGGTGATTCAAAAGGCATAAGGGCAGTTCATTCAGACAGAGAGAGAAACAGTTCGGTATGGGCTGTGTGTAATGGGGCCAGTCAAATGGCAGCTCTAAATACTGAGCAGGTGGTACTCTTCTTCAGACAGCACCGATCTGAGAAAAGGAGGGAAGAGTGAACTCAGAATTGAGAATTCATGGCCAGCAGCGGGGTGGGAACAAGATATTTTCAAATTTTTAGAAATTTTTTCTTTTTTCTTTTTCCTTTCTCTCTCTCTCTCTCTCTCTCTCTCTCTCTCTCTCTTCCTCTCTCCCTCCCTCCCTCCTTACTTTCTCTCTCTCTTTCTTTCTTTTTTTCTTTTTTCTGACAGAGAGTTTCTCTGTGTAGCCCTGGATGTCCTGGAACTAGCTCTGTAGACCAGGCTGGCCTCTAACTCACAGAAATCCATCTGCCTCTGCTGGGATTAAAGGCATGAGCTATCACCGCCCGGCTAGAAATGTGTTTTTATGTGTAAAGATGTTTTGCCTGCATGTATGTCTGTGCACCACATGTGTGTAAGTGCCCGTGGATGCCAGAAGGCAGCATCAAATTCCCTTGGGACTGGAGTTACAGGTGGTTGTGAGCTGCCATGTGTGTGCTGGGAACTGGACACCAGTCCTCTGGAAGAGCAGCCAGTGCTCTTGACCATGGAGTCATCTCTCCAGCCCCAACACAGATTATTTTAAGGTCCATTTAGAAAACGCTATTTAAGATGATTAGAGCAAAATCAAACTACAAGACAAACGTTGGGATTAACAGCTAGTGTTCTCAATAGTTTCTGAGTGTCCACCTAGTTATTCTCGAGTTGCCCAAGCGTGCAGCCCTGTGCGAGGAGGTAAGCCTGAGAGCCGAACAGCATTCGTGCAGCCCCGGATCAGGACTATGACAAATCCAAACTTGGCTGTACCCACTGTTGTCTCAACATTGTCCCTTCAAACCTCCGATGACAAGCTGTGCTTTGCTTTGGGTAAAGCAGAAAGCAAAGAGGTGATTGCTGGTGTTTAAAGAATCAAAGGTGAAAAGACGCTTAGAAACTCATTTGGTAGGAGTTAGCCCTAACGTCCAAAAGTCCGTCTCTCTCCCTGGTGCAGCTCCCTTCCCCAGCCAAAGACTGTCTTGACAATGAATGGCGTTCCCATCTAGCATGGGTGTTGTGATAGCCTCCTGGCAGCTGCCTTGTTCTCCAAGTATTTCTAAAATGTTACAATCTTACACTTGAGACAACCCACAATAACAAACTATCTAGAAGCCGAGCAGCTAGGCTGCATCTGGTGAAGAAGGAGAACCCCGTATTTTTATCCTTCCTTTCCTGCTTTACAAATTCAGACTGTAACAGGATCGTTTTCTAAAGGAATCTATACGCGCATGCTTTAAAAATTGTGTAAATTGGGTGTTGTGTGAGCAAGAATGATCAGGTTTAAGTTTCCCTGCGAGGTTCTACATGCCATCAACAAGCCCTTTTGATATTTTAAACCTATATTTAGAGTAATTTCAAGATATTTGGAGCACGTGTGGTTAAATGTAAAACTTTGTCATTACGATTTGTTAGATGCTTATACTTTAAATATTTATAAGCCGTTTTTAAGGGCTTGATCCAAAAGCCATCTCCCATGGAATACTGTAATTGCGTGGTATCCAAGCACCATTATGGAAGATTCGGGAAAGTCGTTGCATGCAGGCACATTCTTCCTGCTTTTCTGGTTTTAATTCAAATGCCATTCTTAGTGGATTCAGCTTCTTCTTCTTCTTCTTCTTCTTCTTCTTCTTCTTCTTCTTCTTCTTCTCCTCCTCCTCCTCCTCCTCCTCCTCCTCCTCCTCCTCCTCCTCCTCCTCCTCCTCCTTCTTTTTAATGTGTTAAAACTCTTAAACAGGATTGGTTGTCTGCTATTAAAAAGGATAATCTCCCAGTACTCAAAAGGTAAACTCTTCTAACTTGAACCAAGTTGAGTTCACTTCTCCTGAGCGGGGTTGGTGAAGGTCCCCTCAGAGGGTCAGGTCTCGCTCTGTATCCAGCTGAGCTTGAAGCAACAGAATCTTCCTCCAAAACGTTTCAGGGGCAACTTGTTGGTGGAGAGAATGGATTCTTTCCTCTGGAAGGTGAGACTTAGCAGCCTTTGTTAGCAGGAGCCTGTTTGGGCAGTTAGAAAAAGAGGAAGGGGAGAGTGCCTTCCAAACTCACAATCCACTTAAGCTTCAGAGGTCATAAATCGCAGACTGATCACATGCCTCTGGGGCTCACACTCGTTTATGGCTAGCAAAATACAACCTTCTGGTAAGGACGGAGGGAAAAGAAGGCTTAAGAAGGCTCATAAACCTGCCGGGACATCTATTAGCGCTTACCAAACAGGGTTTTCATGAGCTAAGTGTAAATGAGTCAGAAACATATAGATAGAGTTTCTTTTAAAATACACATGGGTTTAAAAAGTAAAGCCAAAGTGCTTGGCAAAATAAGGCTTGGTTTTAGCCAAACCCCAGACGTTTTTTCAAAATAGTTCTAGAGTTTGCCAAACCAAAAATATACCCAGGTCCCTCCATTTCTCCCATTTGATATGATGACATCATAAACATGGGACTTAATGGCTATTTTCATATCCTCTAAGGTTTGACCAATGTGAATCTCAAATACTGACTGAAAAACTATGAAAAGTTTGAGTGGACTAGCCTTATGACTCGTACTGAAGAGCAGGGCTACTAGCTCAAGGTCTCCTGGTTTTGAGAGCATTTCCTACTCACCAGCGGGCACCTTGTTGTATGTCTCAGCTCTGTGTGTTTGTGTGTATATGTGTGCTATCTTTTGTACAGAAATAACTTTTTGTTTTGGTTTTCAAGACAGGATCTCATGGAGTCCAGGCTGGCCTCAAACTCTCTAGGCAGCTGAGGGTGACTTTAAACTCCTGATCCCCGGAGCTCTTCCCCGCAAGTGCTGGGATAACAGAATGCCCAGTTTATACAGTGTTAGGCTTTCATGTGTGCTAGGCAAGCATTTACCAACTGAGCAACATCCCCAGCCCCTAGGAGTAAAAATTTTAAAAATCCTTTATTTGATATTTAATTTGAACTTAATTTATATATTGCAGTCCATAAAACACATTACTGTTATATCCAAAAAGACGGAGGGAGGCAGTTCTTTTTGCTTATTTTCATTGTTCAGAGACAATCTTCACTTCCCCGGAAGATAAAACACCCATTTCCCACTAGCAAATGTCTAATGCTTTCTTACTGTGGTTATTCTGTTAATAAAGCATGGAGAGAGAAATAGAGAAAAATAGGGGAGATTTGGGGGTCCTTATCTGGGGAGAGTTAAAAGAGGCAAGAAATAGCCGAGGTCACTTTTAGAGGCACCGTGGAGAACGTGCAAGCCCACATGATATGCAAATGTTGGCTTCATGGAAGAAGAAGCTGGGGCCAAGTTCCTGCTGCTGTTCTAACTTCCTGCTTGGGGTCAGACACAGTGGACATTATTGAGCAACTCAGTGAGAAGGGTCTCTTGATGGCGCTGTTTAAAGCATATGAATTCAGTTGACTTCTCGACCCAAGAAAGGACAGAGGCTAGTGGGCAGGGCTGGAGGCTGGAGGGAGGCAGCCGGATGTCAAGACACAGGTATCTCCGGCACGGGGCTGCACCACAGAGGGTGGAGGGGAGCGAGGAGGAGAATGAGATGGGGACAGTAGGTGGCGGGATTGGTTTTGGTTGTGGTAGTGACTATAATTACTGTGACCTGGTGCAGAGGAGTGATGATGAGATCTGTGTTTGAGGGAAATTACTTTAGCAACTGTCCATAGACTGAAAGGAAGCAAGAGAAACCTGGCCTCGCTGATCTTGGAATCCCGATGACAGCTAATTACCAGCCGTGGGTGTTATCACTAGAGGGTGAGAGTCATTGGCTGCCATGTCTGTGTCTTATAGGTGAAGCCATCATAGCAGAGCAGTGGAGAACCTTCCTTGTCCCAGGTAGGCCTAAGGTGACTTCGTGGCTCTGGTAGATGACAATCCCACAGCCAATGGGCATTCTGTGCTCAAAAAAGGGTATGCTGATGGGCCTTAGGTTGTCATGGAAACAGGAGTTCTACATCCCAGCCCACCCCAGCAGCAATGAGCTGAGGTCAGCTGGGTAAGGCATGATGTGGAATATTGTCTGGCAGGCTTGATTTGTTTGGGGAAGTTAAGAATATTAGAGGCTGTGCAGAAGTCAGGGATGTTCTAGACACAGACCTCCCTGTTGAGAGCCAGGAAGCCTACAGGGACACCCAGTGATGCCCAGCCTCCTAGCCTCGGTCTGAAGGACAGTAGAAAGGCTCCAGGGAAGGGCAGGGTGGGACTGTTAACTCTCAGACACCTACAGACATTTTCTGGGAAACTGAGTCAAAGGAGTTTGGCCATCTGTTAGAGATGCTCTTTAATCTATTTTCACCTCACAGGCTGTAGCCCCGAAGCCTCTACCTGAGGTAAAAGCAGACTCCTGGTAGAGAAGGGAGGTAATAGCATGGTTTTGTGGGTAAAAACTTGATTCAAGCCTCAGAGGATCCATTTACTAGGAGGAAGAAGTGACTTCAGCTCTGTGAGCTCCCTCAGTGTGTCAGGGCAAGATTTCAGTGAGGGGCGGGTAAGGGAACATGTGAAGAGTAGGTGCCCAACTAGTAAGATTAGTAATAACACATCACACGCAATTACATGTAATTCTGTGTAAACAGTGAACGATGCTGGGGGCTGGCTTCAGAGACTCCATGCAGAGCCGTTGGATGTGTCCCGTGTGTAAAAGTGAAGCAGTGACCCCCCAACCCCATGGAGCCACCAGGCCCCGTGAGCTCCCAGGCTCAGACACACGCTTACTACAAACGTGCCCCTGTGGCTCTGCGGTCCAGAATGTCTGTCACCGGGGGCGCTCTGGAAAACAGGTATTTTCCATGTTGTCCTGCTCAGACGTTAGAGGAGACGCAGCACAGGTTCCCTAGAGGAGACGCAGCACAGGTTCCCATCAGATGGCTCATGCCACCTGGAGGACAGGCTGAGACAAGAAGCGACTGTTCAAGGTCATTTAGAACCGGAGTCCTCATCTGCCTTCCTTCCCTTCCCGGACACCGGATCTGATCAAAGCTGCTTAAGTTACACACCCTGGGCCAAGCACCAGGGTCACATTTTGCCAACCCCCTGCATGGCAGTCTCACACTGGGTAGCTTCGTTCAGGGAGAAATTAGGCAGAAATGCACATCCGGGCTCAAGGGTCGCAAGGCTGAGGAAAATCGGCCATGAACCACACGCCCCGTCTTTGCTGAGCACACGGGAATCAGATTTCTTGATCTTACTTTTTATAGTGCTGTTCTCACTAATCTGAGGCTTTCTCCCTCTCTGCTACTGGTCGTAAGGAATAAATAAAGCCTGGGAAAATTGCTTTTCTAAACCTTACCCAAAGTCTTAAAATCTGCCGTGAGTCCTGGGGCCACACGTGACTACTTTTCCCCTTCAGTGTCCCTTATCTGTCACCTAGAGTGCCTATGTTCAGATAGCACTCGCAGGCTCAACCTTGACACAACCAGCATCTGCCTTTTTTGTCCAAGGCAGAATTTTGGCAACGGCTTTCCAAGATCCTGAGGTGGAAATCAGAGGAGTCACTCAGTCCCTCTAGGATTTAGCACATGCAGCAGGACACAGTGACACCTGCTCAGATTGTCACAGAGGGTGTGGTGAGCTGTAGGCTGACCCAAGAAGGTCTATCAGCCGGTTATGGGCACTGGGTGGGATGTGAGTGAAAACACAGGGCTTTCTTACCAGAGAACATTTCAGAGCTTTTGTGTGCCAAAGCAAAGGAGCTCAATGGTGCGCATCTCTAGGGCTCCTTCCCGCTCAGACATGACTGACCTCCTCAATGGTCAAGGTAAAAAAAGCAAAGAGATGAACATGGACTGAGGGCAATATCCCCTGTGTTGTTGGTGGGGGGAGGATCGTGGACTTGGGGGTTCTGGAAGCTAGTGACCCCCCAGCAGGTTATCTCCTTAACCTTCCGGGTAAACGGTTTTGTGTGAAATGAAGACAATCGCTGATGCGTTAGCAATGTTGTTTCTGTGTGAAGCAGATGTCTAAGTGAAATAAGGACAAAGTACACTCATTTCCAACTTGGTGTGTTATTGCACATAATCTAGGAGGTGGAGGCAGGAGACTGCGTAGTAAATCTGAGGCCAGCCTGGGCTATATGAGACTTTCTGAAAAACAAAAATAGATGGATGGATGGATGGATGGATGGATGGATGGATGGATGGGTGGGTGGGTAGATAGATATGCAATATACTTGGTTTAAAAAAGTAAATATACGTGTGTAGTAGCATGTCAGAGCAGCAGGGTGAGTGATAAAGTTGAAATCCAGAAGCCAGTGTAGGGCTAAGCTGACGTTTACCTCAACCCCTATGTGCCCTCTAGGAAGAAGGGCTGTTCTTCAAGTATTTTCATTCAATGAGGTATAAGAAAAGAGATGACATCCACTTCAAAGATTAAAAATGTGCAACCTGGTAAAAGTCATTTCAAAAATCTTCACACAGCAATGGTTGGCATAGGAGGTGGGCACGCCTTTGGCAAAGCCTGGTCAAGCTGTATAGCCCTGGCTGTGACGGGGTGGGTGAGGGACCCCTCGCTGGCATCAAGCTCAGAGTTTATCAGCTGCCGCAGGCGGCTCTGTTCATTGACCACAGGGTTCTACCCTTGTGAGTGTCCCAGAATAGCCGCTGCTACCTGAGAGCAGTCTGTCCTCAGGGACTGGTTATTGTCCCAGATAAACAGCGAAGCCTCTGCCAGCACGTAATGGCTGTATTTAACTCTGATAAGTGATGGGCAGCAGTGTTCAAGTGAGTGGATTTCTACTAGGGCCAGAATAATTGGGCAAAGGCAAGCCAGCTTGGCAGTGGGCATTTCTTGTCCATCACAGGGTTGATGCCATGGGGTTTTAGACACCTGGAACAAATATGACAGACAACAGGGGCTTGCCTTCTAAATAAGCAAGACAGGACAGGCCTACTAGATTTTGATTATGCAAATTACAAAGGTATTTAAGAAACGAGGTAAGAGTAAAAATCTGGATATTAGCCTAGATTAAAAGAGGGACACTTCCAGGCAAAGATGACGTCTCACATCACGGAAAGGTTAGCCTGGAACTGTTGGGTTTAAGATGAGACCGGTTTTGTTGTTGTTGGTTTTTCCAGGTCCACACTTACTTTTGGGAGTGGTTGTCTGGACATTTTCTAAAATGCAACAGCATGCATCTTGGGTCGTAACTCAGAGAGGTCATGTTTTGAGAGTGTTAGCATTAAAGAACTTACCAGTGTCAAAGCTCAGTTTTGCTCTCAGCCCTTTGAAAAATGTTATGTGGCAAAGGAAGATGGGTAATTAAATCACATTTTCAGTAATGCTTCCCCAGTGAACTTGCCAGGTGGGCAGAGTATCTCTCAGCCATTTCAGTATGCAATTGTCATTCCATGAGAGGCTGTTTCACTCTTCTGGGTAGAAAGGGAAGGCATGAAAAAAAAATAGAGAAGGCATGTCTGGAATTTGAGGACAGCTGGCCACCCATACCCCGTAGAGACCAAGCATGGCAGTTCTAGGATTTGTATATGGGAAATACACAGTACAAGACATGGGCTCGTGTGTGTGTGTGTGTGTGTGTGTGTGTGTGTGTGTGTGTGTGTGTGTGTGTGAGAGATACTCCAGGGAGCATGGATGATATCCTGCCTTTAGACAAACCCATCTTTCAGAGTAAACACAAACTGTAAGGTACAAGTATGGACACTTTCCCAGAATCCTTTGCTTTCAGAGGCACTCCAGAAATCTCTGCCACAGAGGTGTGGATGTGGGTACTCATGTCCACAGCAGCAAAAGAAACTCTTAAACTCTGGACTTGAAGGTCCAGAAAGGGCACCTTCCTTATGCAGTGACAACAGATTAATATCCGTTGCTCAAGGTGCAAGACTGTATATTTGGTACTGACCTTTGTCAAAAGGTCCCCTAATCAGCCTGAGGAAGATGAGGGATGCAGTAGAGAGTCCCACTCAGGCTCCCCTCAGCAAGCCTTGGGGAAGGGCCAGTGAGAAACATATCCAAGAACACACAGGCAGCTAAGATGGGCACCCGGACTGCCTCTCCCGATGCTGACATTTAGGCACTGGGGACAGTTTTTCCACAGGAGTCCTCTGTGCAGCAAAGGTCCCTAGCTTCCTGACATGACCACTTTCTAAATCCCCAAGGCTGTTTCTCCCCTGCTCTTCAGGTCTCCTTACATTACCAACAATGAAAACCAGGAGAGGGAAGCCCACACTGGCCCCCGTGGCACTAACCAGGCTCACGGCCTGGGTCACCAACAAGGGGGCTGCCTGGAGCTAGTGAAAGAGGCTTACTTTAAAACCACCCCCACCCCCACCCCGCTTCAGAAGTTGCCAGCAGAAAGAGACCGCCGCCCTCTGGCCCTTGGGGATGTCCCAGGTGCACACGTGTGCCAAGAGACGAAAGCAAGGGCACACACGGTCTCCTTCGCACACTCTTAAAATAAGCTCCGTGTAAGCAGGCTTGCAAAGTAGCAGGCCCGGGGCTGCAAAAAATAGAACACCATGCAGCTGCACCCTTTGGAACTTGGGGGGAAAACACATATTATTTACCAGACAATAATAGATACCAGCGAATAATAATGATTATTATAGTGTTGGTGATGGCAAGCGCTGTGCTTTGGGTTCCAGAACGGCTCTCATTATAAGCCCGATTTCCCAGTCTCTTATGAAAGCCTAGACATTTCCTCCACATAGGCTGATGCTGGGCATATTTGGTCTTTGTCCAATGGTGATTTGAATACAAAGACACTTATTTGAGAGATATTCCTTCCTCTCCCCCTCCCCCCCACCCCCCCACCCCCCCACCCCCGCTTTGGGTTGTGATTGCATTAAAGAAAAAAACGCTATATACATCACAGAGCAAACA